GCACCTAGTACAGGACTTTGATTACATATGTACATGACTTTCACAGCTAATTCCCTAGGATGCTTTCTCCTCTTTTGTCATTTTGACATGACATGAAAGGTTTCCTTGGTGACAATATGTCTCCTGCTCAGATCCAAAATATATGATAACACAGCACTCCTATTTTTCCCTTAAAACCTTAAGAAAATGCCACAAATGTCCATGTTTCATTCAGATTTTCCTAGTTTTAAACCCAATACTCTTTCTTTTTTTCTGCTTGAGGATCCTGTCCAGGAAGTCGCATTACCTGTGGTCATTATGCCTCCTTAGGCTCCTCCAGGCTGCGACAATTTCTCAAACTACTCTTGTTTTTGATGAGCTGGGCAGTTTTGAGGAGTAACATAAGACTTTTGTAGCCCTTTGAGCTTTTAAAAGATGCTTTCCAGAAAAAAGAAGTAAGCTATAAAGGTCTTTTCCTGTGTCACAGAAGAATTTCTTTACCCGTGCAGATTAAACCCTGCAATTGCACTACTGGGTATTTACCCCAAAGATAGAGATTTAGTGAAAAGAAGGGTCATCTGTACCCCAATGTTCATAGCAGCAACGGCCACAGTTGCCAAACTGTGGAAAGAACCAAGATGCCCTTCAACGGATGAATGGATAAAGAAGATTTGGTCCATATATACTACGGAGTATTATGCCTCCATCAGAAAGGATGAATACCCAACTTTTGTATCAACATGGACGGGACTGGAAGAGATTATGCTGAGTGAAATAAGTCAAGCAGAGAGAGTCAATTATCATATGGTTTCACTTACTTGTGGAGCATAAGGAATAACATGGAGGACATGGGGAGATGGAGAGGAGAAGTGAGTTGGGAGAAATCGGAGGGGAAGACAAACCATGAGAGACTGTGGACTCTGAGAAACAAACTGAGGGTTTTGGAGGGGAGTGGGGTGGGGATTGGGAGAGTCTGGTGGTGGGGATTAAGGAGGCATGTATTGCATGGAGCACTGGGTGTGGTGTATAAACGATGAATCTTGGAACGTTGTAAAACAAAACTAAATTAAAAAAAAAAGAATAGCTCTAAAAAACAAAATCTCTAAAAAAAACCCAAAGAAAAAGAATTTTTTACTTATGGAGGATAGTGATTGCCACATATTGTACTTCCATACATGCAGAAGAATGAAAGGGCACACACCCACGTGATTTGACTTCTGAGCTGCCCAAGAGAAGATTTTTAAAAACTTCAAATAATTACATCCACAGAGAGGGTCAAGGGACCCTGCTGAGCAGATGTTTTCTGGCTTTGCTGATCCTGGAGCAGAAGGGGCTGAAGCAAGGGGCATGCGCACACTGGCCAGGAAAAGGTGACTCAGAGCAGACTGGTAAACACTGGATAGTTTACAAAGGTAAGTCTGGGGTTGTTTCCAGTGAAGCCTCTGGTTGCTAAGATTTAGACAGGGCGGGGCTAAGAAGGAGGCAGACAGAGAGGGACTCGGTGACTTCCCTAGATTTTTGAGCACTTTTCCCCCAGAACCACTCAGGATGTCTGAAATCCAGAAATATTCATGGCACCAGGCCTCCTCTGAGTAGGGAAGCCTGATTTGGCAAATAGAAACACAAGACTCCCAGTTAAGGATGAATTTCAGATAAATAATGAACAGCTTTTTTAGTATAAGTAAGTTCCAGCCAATATTTGGGACACGCTTACGCTAAAAATTTATTTGTTGTTTGTCTGAATAGTCAACGTCCTGCATTTTCTCTGCATTTTCCTTGGGTTCCCGTTGGGTAGGCAGGGGAGAGGAGAGGGCGGCAAAGGAGAAGGGTGTAGGGTGGACGGTTTCTAGCCTCAGCCCACCACTTTCAGAGCAGTTACCTTAACATGAAAGATAAATGTTGTATCATGTATTCTCAAAAGCTACCCCAGGTCAGCTTTCAAAGAAACTGTGAGCCTCTAAGACCTCTGGAACAGCATTCTTTTTGTCTCCTTCTTTCTTTATTATTGAACAAATACCCAGGAAGTCTGTGTCCTATAAACAGTATCCTTTAATATATACAGTTACTGAAGAAAATCAAACCCAATCAGAAGCAATGGGTCAGCAAAGGTAGAATTTCTCCATGACCACTTGGTTCCTTTTTTTTTTTTTTCCTTTGCTGGGCTCTGGATTTATAGACCAGTGTTTAGTCTCACACCTTTCTCCCCGTCCTCCTATCTAATTTCTAGTTTTCTCAGATGATGGCAGGAATAAAAACTTGACTGTAAAAAAATCCCTCATGCATGGGATAATTGAAAACTAACCATAATTGTAAAAATTAAGTGTTAAATCATATTACGTGCCTAGGCATAATTAAAAAAATAGATAACCACAATTTAACAAACTTAAAAACTTGAAACTGATAGAAGTATGCTCTTGGCCTCCAAGAAAGTCAGCGAAAGGATTAAGCTTGCATCCTTCACAAATCAGCTGGGTCAAAATCAGCATTTAAAAGCCTTTGTAAAACAGAGTTGATACATCAGAATCTTTTAATGGCAGAAATTCCCATTAGCATCAACTGTTGCATAATTAATATTCATTATAGTGATTAGAAATGTTAATTTCTTAGAGCAATCATAATTTCCTTTAATCTACTATGGCAGTGTTTTTTAAACTCCAGATTATGACCCATTAGTGGGTCATGAAATCAATTTAGTGGGATATAATCAGCATTAAAGAGAATAGAATAGAATAGAATGGAAAATATTCAATTTCATTGCATACAATGTAAATATAATTTCATGATCTTTAGCTTCAGCTTTCTAAAAGCATATGTATAACTACTTGGTTACAATATAAAATGTATTTCATGGGATCTGTTCTGCACAGTTGGGAAACCGTTCTCTTATATTATAACAAATAAATTCTATGATCTAAAGGTAAAACACAAGTTTAAGTCATACATTGGTGAAAGAAGAAAATATTGACAGTAAAGAAGATATTGTGATGGCTTATATGTGTTTAACCAATAATGGAGCCACTTCTCCACTTGCTGAGTTCTGATTCAAGGTGATACATGTGGCAAATCTACTTCTTATTATCAATGCAATAGGGATGCCTTGGTAGTCTATACAAGTGAGGGCTATGGGGGCAGCCTGTCTCTACTGCTTACTGGCCAGCTGATCTTGGTCATGCAACTGGATTTTCTGTGTCCCACTTTCCTTATTGATAAGATGGGCCTTGTGATGAACTGGTCATCCAACTTGGAAAGATTAAATGAATTTATACACAGAATGTATCTAACACAGCGTTTGGCACCATAGCAAATCTTCAATAAGTATTAGTTACTGGTTTTATTACTTTTTCTCATTTTCGGGTAAGAATAGGAAGTATTAGAGACCTTCCTGCCTCAAACTTTTAATTTTATCCCTGACAACTGGAGAACGGAGGCCAGAGCGTGCTTTGAGGTTCAGCCCACGCACAGGCCCATGCGTGGATTCTTCTTCGTGTCATTGGAATGAACTGCTTCAGAGCGAAGTTCTCAACCTGGGACACATGATACACCTTGCAGGATTGTGAATTTCTGAAATGTGACTGGGATTTTGAATGTATGTGCAAATACATCTTCAGGGGATACACGGAGGGGATCAATGGCTTCTAGCATTAACGGGGCCACATGTAGTGCAGTGAAGACTTCAAAGAGCCTAGATCTAAGTTCAGGCTTATTAATTAGCATGGTAACCCTGGGCAAGTTACTGAAATCTTGTAGCTCCACTTACCTGTCTGTAGAATGGGAATTAAAGATAGCTGCTACACAACACAGTTGCTGTCATAATTAATGTTTACAGTATTCGTAAAAAAGCTTAGCACAGGCAAAATGGCTGTCACAGGATGGGTATTCAAGGAAGTATTAATGGCGGAGAAAGGGTAGGGAGAATGGAGAATAGCATATAATGGTTGCTATTCTGAATTTCAATTTTGGAATGTTAAGTCTGTCACTGAATCATTAAGTGATCATTCACTCAGTAATCAATTCCTTCACTTATTCAACAAAAATGGACCAAATGCTGCCACATGTGAGGGCTTGGGTGAGGTGGTGAGGTGTGTCTTATCCATTGGTAAGACACATTCTCTGCCCTCACAGAGCTCACGATCCAGGAAGGCTTACAAACAGGCAGTCACCAACCTTGTGATTAAATGGGGCAGCAGGCAAAGTATGGGGCTTGGGGAGAACGAGGGCAACAGCTTGAACTCAGAACCACGTTCAACAAGATTTGTGGTTTTGTTTTGTCTCATAGTTCTAGTTTCCAGTTCAGTGCTGAACAGAGATGACTTCCTTCTGTTTATTTTAATGCTGAATGTTATGGGTCAAATGTATAGACCTATTAAGGGGGCATGAAGGACAGAATTTGATCCGCTCTTCTACGGGATTTGGTTCCAAGGATGAGCACATGTAGTGAGACCTCTTGATAGTAAGGGCACGAGAGAACAGGACAAACATCCACCCTCAAGGAAAATCATAAAATCCAATTCTATTTTTGCCTGGACTTCAAGGAAACTTAGAGCTAAATTTAATGTTCCAATTACAAGTATAGTAACCTAGTTTTTTTGTTTATTTCTTCCTCCTTTCTTCTCAATGGTTTTGATTTTCCATTTTCAATGCATTATTATATCTCTGTATCTATCTACCATCTATACCAGATTAAATGGTTTTTGGAAGTAGACAGGGTAATAATTATTAAACAACTTCAGTGACTTAGTGTCTTATGTACTACATTAGCATTTTGCTTTGTATATTTTTATGACTCAGTGGACATGACTGAATTGTAATACATTTAAACTTTATGAAATTGAGTCATACTTTGACAGCTCTATCATAGAAGAATTTTATAGCAGGAACAATGTCTTCCAGGAGAAGTCCTTATGTTATCAATAATTGGATGTCACAGTATCATTTGGGATTGCATCTACTATTAGGAGACAAGATTGCTATGTTAATCCATTTAAATTATTTTTTTACTCTCTGGACATAGAAACTCTTACCTTTGAGCAAAGCTGTCAGGATAGCTAAGTCAATGTCCTGGTGTCCTTCTGATCCCATCCGGAATACCGTAATCTGCAATTTGAGACAAGGGGACCATTAACAATGCATGTTTTTCCCCAAGACAAATTCAATCAATGAGACCATATCTGAACACAGATTATCTTAATATCTACAAGGTGGATTCTTGGCCCCAGGGGAAGCAGACAGAGCAGGAATTCAGCTACAGGGTTCTGCAGTTCATTAAGAGGAAGATGTCTCATAGCCTCCTAACAGAGACCAACTCATATAATTGCATTGATTATGTTGACAATGATGAGAAACCCGAGACCGAGGAAAATGTCCTCTTCTATCATTTCAGTTTTAAAATTAAAACTTACTGGACTTAAAGAAATGCATAAGCTGTGACGTACACAGTGAGTTGAGAAATTAAGTGTTTAAAAGTAGTTTAGTATGCCCTTCAGTAAGTGGTCCTACACATGTGTATGTGTGTGTGTGTGTGCATGTGTGCATGTATCTGCGCGTGTGCAATGCCATCACCACACTTACTCCACAGCAATAGTTACAAAGGGTTTCTCAACAGTGTGATGGCTCTAGATTCTTCAGTCCTCTCACTAACCTTGAACCCCTTTGAACTCTCTCGCACTGTTGGTGAAAATGCAAACTGGAGCAACCACTCTGGAAAACAATATGGAGTTTCCTCAAAAAGCTAAAAATAGAGCTACTCTATGACCCAGCAGTCATACTACTGGGTATTTACCCAAAGGACACAAACATAGTGATTTGAAGGGACAACTGCCTCCCAAAATTTATAGCAGTACCATCAACAGATGAATGGATAAAGAAGATGTGGTGTGTGTACACACACACACACACACACACACACACACACACACACACACAGGAATACTATGCAGCCATCAAAAAGAATGAAGTCTTCCCATTTGCAACGATGTGGTTGGAGCTAGAGGGTATTATGCTGAGTGAAATAACTTAGTCAGAGAAAGGCAAATATATGATTTCACTCATATATGGAATTTAAGAAACAAAACAGATGAACATAGGGGAAAGGAAGGAAAAATAAAATAAGAGGAAAACAGGGAGACAAATCGTAAGGGATGCTGAACTCTAGGGAACAAACTGAGGGTTTGGAGGGGAGGGGAGTGGATGAGGGGATGGAGTAACTGGGGGATGGGCATTAAGGAAGATACTTGAAGTAATGAGCACTGGGTGTTGTATGCAACCATGAATCTCTAAATTCTACCTCTGAACTAACAATACACTGTATGTTAATAAAATTGAATTTAAATTTAAAAAAATAACCTTGAACTCCCTTGAGAGTAACTTAGCAATTACTTCCAGGTTGTAAGAAGGGGAAAGCAGACACTACAATAACATCTTTCCTTTCGGTGAGCCAGGGGAGAAAAGTATTCTCCATGGATGAATCGCAGGAAGGAGCGTAAAGACACGGCAATGAAGGAATGATACATGTCGAATTAATACAAAGTCCCCAAATAATGCTGAACAATAACAAAGATCTCTTCTTAAAGTCAGAGGGAAGTTACTTAAGGAAGCCAAAAGGTTATTTGACTATCTGCAGTGAATTACTATTTTTCTCAGCTACTTTAGGCTTCAGGTTTCTCTAGCTATAAAACGGGAAAACAATAGTGCCTGTCCGTTTCCAAATATGGGAAGTACACTTTACTGCATTTGCTAACAGAGAATTCCAAGTTTAGCCACTGTGAGGGAAAGAAGAGACACAGACTCAAAGACTGTGACATTATCAGTTGCCTTAGAAATCCAGTCCACTATCCAAAATAACTTGTTTAAGGTCACAAAATGAGTTAGTTAGCTAGAAGAGTTGTGATTAGAACCCAAGAGCCCTGACATTTTTGTCTTGTGCCTTAAACACAGCAACAAAGAGGGGGAAGAAAGATCATATGAACATCTGACTTGTGAGCTGCTTAATTCTTTTGTGTCTTGATTGTTCATGTCCTGACGTCAGAGTGTGGGATGAGTGTAAGGCAGAGAGTGTAGACAGAAATGCCTTTGTAGGCTTTTGAACGTAAAAATATGAAAAATAGAGAGAGACAAACAAAACCTATCTACACCCTGTGTTTGGCTCATAGGCCAAAACTGTGCTCTCTGGAAAGGACCAGCATGTGGAGGCGTGCCCCAGCTCTGTTAGATTTGCACTGAAATCGACTTCCACTCGTCTGTAGGTTTGGCCAAAGGGCCAACAGGACATTCTCCCAAATGCCTACGGTTGCCCCCCACAAAAGCCACTTGGAAGAAGGGAGGCAGCTCTTCTCAGTTCGGAACTCGAGGACAGGTGCCTGAATTGGGAAGACAGTCTGCAGTCCACAGGATTAAGAACCAGGAGGGCAGGGGCGCCTGGGTGGCTCAGTGGGTTAAAGCCTCTGCCTTTGGCTCGGGTCATGATCCCAGGGTCCTGGGATCGAGCCCCGCATCAGGCTCTCTGCTCAGCGGGGAGCCTGCTTCCCCCTCTCTCTCCCCGCCTGCCTCTCTGCCTGCTTGTGATCCCTCTCTCTCTGTCAAATAAATAAATAAAATCTTTAAAAAAAAAAAAAAAAAAAGAACCAGGGGGGCAGAAGTGGAACTTGGCCAACTCTACAGATGAACTCTTTGAGCCAGGCCAGCTATGCTGTGTCCTTAGCTAGGAGCAAGATGAGGAAAATCAGAATAACATGTGAGCTCATTGTTTCGGAAGAATCCAAAACTTAGGCATCAAAGAATTCCTTAAACATCAGACCTACTTGTTTTGTAGATGCTGACATTTTACTGCCTAATTAGAGATCACATTTTTTACACAAATTTTTCTGAGGCAGCAAATAGAAAATTTTACCTTGAAATATAACATTATCAGGCCTTCCTAGGAACAGATTTGAGGAGGGGAAAAGAAGGTTTATAGTGTAGGGTTTCTAAAGGATTTGGGGTAAGAGGCAGTGGAGACACAGTTACATGTTTGTTTTTTTAAAGATTTATTTATTTGAGAGAGAAAGAGAGAGAGAGAGAGAGAAAGAGAGAGAGAGAATGAAGGGTCTGAGGGAGAGGGAGAGAGTAAATTTCAAGCAGACTCAACACTGAGCACAGAGCCCAACACAGGGCTCGATCCCATGACCCTGAGATCAGGACCTGAGCCGAAATCTCTCTATTTTTGGATGTTTAACTGATGGAGCCACCCAGGTGCCTCTCTCTGTTTTTGTTTGTCAAGGAGCCTGATGTGGAATTGTATACCAGGGCTTCACAGTTTTTCTGGAAAACTGATGTGGAGGGAGTGGCTGCCCATCTGTCCATGCCCCTATTCAAGATGAGAAGGAAGAATGAAGGAGAGGCTGGAGGTTCCAAAGACAAAATTTATTTCATAATTTTGCCTTGAGCTGATTTGTGGGATTATGTCTTCATCACTACTCTAAAACATTTTTATTTGAAATTTAAGACATTTTAAAATCCCAATTACACGATGTATCCATCTAACCTCAGGGGGTAAAAGGTCAAATAAAATCAGAGCCATTCTACCAACCCTAAGTTTGGCAGAGATGCAGAAAATCAAGTATTCTTAAATATTCTTGGTGGGGCTATGAATCAAAGTAGTAGTTTTGGAGTATGATAGGTTGATAAAAATTCACTGGTATTGATATATGATTCTTTAACAGCACTAATATTTTATTTAGGTCTTTGCAACTGTTCGGAAATGAGGTTGGTACATGTCATCGATCTTGCCTCATTTTGGGATTAGAGTTGCAGTGACTTTTCAGAATGACTTGGAAAGGCTTTTGAATTTACTTATGCCCCAGGACAGTTTATATAACAAAAGAAATTCTCCCACTTCTCCAGGTTTAGGAGGATGTCTATAAACATCCTTATTTAGGGACAGATCGCTGGTCACCTATATAAATTTTCCAGCAATTATTGACCAATTTAGCTTTTCTGACTGTCCCTGAGTCAGTTTCATGTATTTTCCTATGTAATCAGATATTTCATCTACATTTTCAAGTTCATGGGTACACAATTATATGCACAATTCTCTTATTTTTTAAAAAATCTCATTTTTGTCTAGAATTATATGGATTTTAAAAAATTCTTTATTTTTAACTTAATCAAAATCTCAGTCATCTCCAAGAATTTGATTTTAATTTTATGGATCAATATTATTATTTACAATTTGAAGTTACTATTTTCTGCTTTTATCATTATCCATTCATTTCTTCTGTTTTTGCTCCCTTAAGCTATTCTTTTCCTAGAATTTTAGGTGGATGTTGTGGTTATGTTATTTTTATTCCTTCTTGTTTCCTAATCATTGGATCTAAGATTATGTATCTCACATGTTTTTATACGCATTATGTAATTTTCATTCATTTTAAAATATGTCACTTATTTTCTCTTAAAATTGTTTTTAATGTTAGAATGTGTGTATTTTAACATTTTTTAAACATGCTCTTTTGCTTAAAAAAAAGCATGTCTTCTCTATCTGCTGGGTACAGAGTTTTAGGTAGATTGATATAGATACAGATCATACTTTTTATTCAAATACTCTACATATTTATTTTCAAGAGGCATATTAAAGTCTCCTATTTTTTTTTTTTTTTAATATTTATTTGACAGAGATCTCAAGTAGGGGGAGAGGCAGAGAGAGAGAGAAGGACTCCCTGCTGATCAGAGAGCCCGATGCGGGGCTCGATCCCAAGACATTGGGATCATGACCTGAGCCGAAAACAGGGAATCTAACACACTGAGCCACCCAGGCGCCCTGTTAAAGTCTCCTATTATGAGTAACGCTTCATAATTATTCCTTCAAAGTAAATAAGTCTTTGGTTTGCATGTTTTGAAGCTTTTCAAAAATGTATAAAGGTTCATGACAGTCTGTTCTTGGTGGGCTGCAGTTTTTATCAACATCAACTAGCTTCCTTTTCTATTTAGTGCTGTTGCTTTGTGTTACATTTTATTTTAAATTAACATTTTAATCACCATATATGCTCTTATAGGGGATTAGAATGTGTCTGATATATTATTCCATCTGTGCATTTGTGGGTTTTTTTGGGGCGGGTCACTTC